TTATTCTCTCTGGGAAATGTTTTGCAATTATGTGATTTTATCGCGGAATTTTGAACGCCATGGGAGTGGCGTTCGGAACGACGATAATTAGTAAGCGGTTCATAACTGGTTTATATTGGTGTTAATCAGAATAAAAGTGTCAGCGACTGGTCATCTCGATGCGAGTCACGTTAACCACAAAATGGATATGGAGTTTATTAATGTCCATACGAGACATGTTTTTCGCGAGCCAGGAAATGCGACAACACTTCGTGGATATCCGGGACGCATGAAATACAGCGCATAATCTCTTACCTCGCTCTATAATTATCCGCCGCGTTAAATTTTTTATCGCCCCGACTCGCGGAGCGACGCTAATTTCGACGCGGTGCTCGCGCGCGCGGAAGGCGACTCGTAATTATAGGATTTCAGATTTAATAATACGGATTACGCGCCGCGCGCCCACGCGCGTAATTGTAACCTTCCCTTAAATATTTGAGAACTAATCCGCGAAAGTCGTCGCAGCACCGGGCGGTGCGCGACAATTTCGCCATAATTTCTGCGGTTACACGCTGTCTCGAAATTCAAATCGGAATCCGCAGACGCCTCTGGTAATTAGAAAGTTCATTACCCCGACAACGGAGTGACAACGGCAGAAACCCGTATCTCCGCTGTCGCAGCAGCTCTCGGCGGCTGCGTCGCGCCGGCTGGGCGCCGCCGAGGTCTCTCTCTCTCTCGGCTTTACCGCTTCAGACTTGTACCTATCTGCATTCGTATCATCGGCAGGTATCCGCCATTGATGGCAAAACCCACACGCAGCGCCCACTGGAAAAGCTCGTCGTCCTACGTCCCACAGCAGAAACTGACTCGCAGATAGCACAATGGCGATTGTAGTTTAAAATACAGAGCGCGCACAATGCGCGAAACAGTTTTAAATACCTCGTGCGCGGATTAAATATTGCATTGTTTGTTTTTTCCTCCTCTTTATGTCGGAACAGCCGTTACACTTCTTGTTTTATCACTTTTGTCGTCCCGCGCTTCACGCTCGCGACTCGATCTCTGAACTGTTTTAGATTTAATGTCATAATAGTCTCTCTGGAATGGCAGATCAGCATGTTTCAGATGAAATTAGACACAGACATACATGCGCGCACAACGCGCACACTTAAGACCGTTCGATTCAATTATACATTATAACATTTTGTAAAGAGGCGTCACACAGTATATTCTGAGCACAGAGTGTGTCTACAATAACATTATCGGCTAACACAATCTTCGCGAAACATCTTCGTCGCGCGGTGAACTATAATGCGTTACAGGCTATATTAGTTCCATTCTCTAATGAAATTACAACAGACTAAAACTACCTCCTTCTGCACTATCTTTCCTCGGAGTACCAACTCCGTATTCACGAGTGACATCCACCTCCAACGTATAAGCGTGTGGATATACATTCAAAAGAATATAATCTCACTCTTAGAGGATATCCTCTTATATACAGTCCTCAGAGGATTCTTTTAAAAAAAGGAAAATATTCTAAAACTTGAAAGGATTTCGTTTCTTATTTACAATACAAATCTTGCTCTTAACAAAAATTTCTCCCATCAGGGGAGTATTCTGCTTCAAATAAATATATTTCTTTTGATTCAAAAGGAAAAAAAGTTAGAATGAGATACACGGAGAGAATGTTATAGTAAATATTGCTCTACAATTTCGTAATCAAGGAATAGATCGACATTCTGCCGTAATTGACTATTGTTTCATCCCATATTTGCCATTTATATTTTAGAAACTGTGAAGTACGCTGTTAAAGTACGCTAGTAAAAAATTTACTATGTTTCTGACAAATTTTGTTATATTTCTTGCGAAATTTAGTATGTTTCTTAGCAAGACCTTACTGACAGTCTATTTCTAGACTACTAGAAAAATTTAATAAAATCGAAAAGAAACTATAATATTCTTTTCGTGTATAACTTATATAGTTGATCTATAATTAATAGTTCAGTTTTCAAAAAAAAAAAAAGAATAATCTGCTGGTAATTTTTGCTTAGAATATGGTAATAAGCTTTATTTAATAAAATAAGATATGACAAGGAATATCTTATTACTGAAGTATTACTTGATACTAATCTAAATAAAATAGGATATCACAAGGAGTATTTTGTTACTGAAGTATCATTTGATACTAATCTTGTAACTAAAACACGTTCACTTCGTGTTGATTCTTTTTTCAGAAGTATCTCTATCATTACTTTCTCGTCAGATCCACTGCTTCTACTCTTTCCACGGCGGGAACTCACATCCAATCGCGGAAATTTTTTATTTAACGCGATACACAACCGATTTAATTAAATCTCGGAATAGTAAATATGTACGTGAAGCATAGATAAGCAAAGAATACATAATACGGTAAAGGTAATAGTTGCATAAAAAAAGACAACGGGATTGTAGGAAACAACATTTTGCAATCAGAGTTCCTTTTTCCTGATGTTAGAATGTTTTCCTTCTAGTTTCACAGGAATCCCTCTCTCGAGACCATACATAAAAGAATATCCGCTTAGGATAATAAGATTACATCTTTTTTTGAATGTGGACACGACACTCGCTGGAAAATTTAACGAATCGCAAATCGAAGAGTCGTTGCGGAGTTTCTTCGCCGACGATTTTTCGTGAGGGAAGAAGAGAAGCAAGACTTCGGGTCGATCGAATCCGATTCTTTCGAGAAAGACGGCTTTCTCTTTCACCAGGTCTCGCGCATGTCCTGTACATATCGGAACTGTACACTTGCGTATTTAACATATTGCACCGGTGGCTTATTCCGTGGAATATTTATACAAGCCGCGACATGCGACGACCGCGACTGGCACAATGTCGTTCCGGGTAATATCATTATTTCGCTGCGCCGTGGAAGTTATTGCGAGACGATTCGCTAATGCGCGCCAAACGAAACTTCGTGGCCCGTCCATCGGATTTTACAATACCTCGCCGTCGTTTTTCAATAAAAATACCGCGAGAGAGAGAGAGAGAGAGAGAGAGAGAGAGAGAGAGAGAGAGAGAGAGAGAGAGAGAAGGAGAGAGAGTTCCGTTTTATCCTGTGAGAAACGAAGGTGAGAAGAAGAAAGAATAACAATTGAAAGTGAAAGATAACAATTGAATAAGAACGAGTTGCAACGCTTCGACAAACTTAAACGACACAGGACGATCTTACCCGCGTTATTTCGTTATACTACGCATTGTTGAGCAGCATTTCCATGTGTATGTGTATCGGACGCAGTTCGCGTTCGATAGGCCTCGCGGAAATGAAACAACAGCGCTACAAATCCAAATGTGTTATTTTCAAAAGAATTTCCAAAATTAGCCAGATATTAATAAAAAGAAATTAATAATAGTTAATTTTAAAACTAACAATATTCTGACTATAATATTTTGTAGATATTCACTACAATAAAATTGGACAGTGTAAAATTAAAGTTCTTGGTTTTATTAATTTTTGTTCATGAATATGACCATCATAGTGTAATCGTCAAAACACGGAAATAAAATGAAAATATAAATATATAAAAAGAGATAAAAAATATATATATTTTTTATACAAATGCAAGTATATTCAATATTTCCGCGTCATTTTATATTACATATAAAATATATTTTTAAGGAATAAATGTTTCGATTATTTTTCGGTCTTTTTCAATAGCTATTCTTTGCCGAAATTTAATGGTTAACTCTAAAATGGTCGAATTTCTGTTGAGAATGAATAATTCTATCGAATAAGATCGGAAAGCTATCCTTTGAATCATTAAGCAATGTATTAGCAATTAAAAAGAAAACAATTTAGAAACTAGCTAGTTAGTAGATTGATAATAATTCTCTAGAAATGCGGACTAGTTTCTCTGTCTATTTATTATCGAAGAGTCAGCCAAACTAAGTAAGATCTAGACAGTAATATTGGACAAATACTGAACAGTAACCAAAATTTCTGACTAGTTACTGACTACTTTCTAGCTGATTTTCTGGTTGAGTTTAAGTGGTTGATGAAATAAATATTAGAGAATGAGCTTCTCGAGCTTTCACTGAGTAGAAATTGCTCACGTCACTTTTTTATGGCTAGTCGACCAAAATCGGCCAGGAAAAGAGCCGACAGGATTGAGTAGGTAGGAGAGTTTGGCATGGCTCGTTCGCGAAGTAACAGAGTCAATTTGCTCGTGAATAAGGCAGAGCGAAACAGGCGCGCGACGGAATGCGCCGCCACCAGCGTTAGGTCTAAGTACACAACCGCGTGTTGCTTAAATATCGCGGTAGCGTTTGTTACCAGACAGCCACCGAGAGTGTTAATTATGTTCTGACCACGATAGTGTCCGCGGTTACGAAGCAAGTTTTAATCCCAGCGGTCGCCTCTCTCCGACCGACGCGCACCTGCAAATTTATATTCCGCGGGAGGTCGTTATTGCGACAATAACGAGCCTGATTAGAAACCTGACACAACCGCGCCGCTAATTATAAACGTTCTGAATTAGCCGCGATCGAATTAGTTACATGATGCGTGCGCGTAATAATAACGTAAGCGCGTGTCGCGCGTCCGCAACAGTTACTTGTCGCTGAATAAAATAACAGCAGTTGTGCAACGCGAATGGCGCGCTGCAAAAATCAATCAGCGAGATATCGCGGCGTGTGTGGGGTGGATAACAACGCGTTATCCCTCGGGTGTTGCCCCACGTCGTCGTGCGTCGCGACGGAGGGAAAGCTAATTACAATCCCCCATGCATCTGTGGACTCTCCTGAAACGGAGAAGTCCCGAGGTCCCGCTTCCGGTGAAACCATCATCTACTACCATCCGCTCTCCCAACCTGTCACACATATATACACACCCAAGCGTACGCCAACAAACAAACCCACACACACACGTGCACGCATCCCACACTCTCTTGCACACACAATAATAGAGTTTGACGACAAACGTTTGAGAACAAGGCGAATCGTGAAGCATCCATTGAGCGCCGAAATGGCGTCTGTGTGTGTTCCAGCAGCATCCGAACGCGACCAACAGTAGCGAGACGAGCGTGGGTGGTGTGTCGGGTGCGTGCGGAAGCAGCGGGATACCGGCGCCCGGGGAGGCCGGATGCAGCAGCAGGGGTGGCAGCAGCAGCGGTGCTGGCGGCACCGGTACCGGACAAGGTTGCGAACAGGGCGGCCACGGAGGGGGCTCGTCTTCTCATTCGACACGGGAGAGCCACGCCAAGTTCCGGCACGGCCTGCTGCAGCTTATGATCCACACGATCGATCCGCTCCACGACGGTCAGTCCCGCGCCGGTATACCAACTCCACACTCTATCACTCTCGCTTGCAGCTTCTTGGCTCGCTTTTGCGCTTAGCGGCACGCTGGTTATGTCGATGTGCGCTTGTACGTGTCTCTGTGTGCCCGTATATGCCTGTGCCATGTGAGTATGTGCGTCTGTTCGTCTCGACGCGTCTCTTCCGCGCGTTTCGAGAGAAACAGTATGTATATATGTATATGTGTACGTATATCGACACGTAAAAGCTATTCTACAATTGCGTAAGCGCACTCTTTTAAAGTGAATCAGTGAATAGTCACTGATATCAGTTGTAAGTATAGCACTGAGCAGTTTCAGCGCTGTACTTATAGCTGCAAATCGGTATATATTTACTGCTTTCAACGATGTTTCACTGATTCACTTTAAGAGAGTATGAACCAAAACGCCCACCAATCAGAGTGCTTTATTCATTGATTGCTTTATTCTGACTGGTTGTCATAATCACTTATAATCACTTACGATCACGCTTACACAATTGTAAAATGACCTTAATGGCGCGGAAAGCGCACTTCCACGACCTTTTCGTTTCCTTTCGCGTTTTGCGTCACGTCGCGTCGCCCCACAGCATGCTTCTATGTACTAATACACCCCCCACATCGTGGGTGGTAGCTGAAGCTCTCTCCATGGGACGATGTCGCGATTTCGCTGCTATTCTACACGAGTCCATTCTAGTCGCGAAGATTGATACAAGGAATGCTGCACCTGCGACCTTCTACATATTTCACACGCGGAGAAATGTAGATTCGCTATGTTCGAGAAGACACGTTTTTCCTTCTTCTTCGTGACAATATTGCACGTGGGATATGTAAGGTAGAAAGCACCAATGTCCAAAAACGTAATTCTGGACATACTTATTATTTTGGTCTTTCAATATTTCAACTTCCAACGTAATATACATATACATATATATACATGTATATACATACATATATCGAATATATACATATATTCTACGTTGAAAATTTAAATATTCGTATTTAAGGCTGCTGATAGTTCTCGCTTCTGATGTCATCAGTTAAGAGTAACGTCACGCTATAAGAAAAGGGGACGGAACTTGGGCTAAAACTGATAAAGAAAAAGCCAATGAGTACGCAAAATTCCTAACACAATGTTTTCAGTCTAATCCAATAGTAACAGGATACAATGAAGACGATATCGATGCACTTTTAGCATAGTCCTCTCAAACCAAAACTGTTATAAATCCTACTACTACTAAAGAAGTTGTAAGAACGATAAAGGAATTTAAAGAAAGTTCCAGGCTACGATCAGAGCTTCTAAAAAGATTACCAGAAAAAGTAATAATATACTTGACTATGCTATTTAATGCCATAATAAGAACGGCCTACTTCCCTGACCAATGGAAAGTCGCAACTATAATAATATGTCTAAAACCAGGTAAGCCTTCTAATGATATTAAGTCATATCGTCCAATCAGTCTTCTACCGGTCATCTAAAAACTTTTCGAAAAAGTCCTCTCCAAACTGAAGCTAATACTTGCAAAAAAGAATTTAATCCCGAACCATCAGTTCGGATTCAGAACGAAACACTCGACTACAGAACAAGTATACAAGATTATAGATAAAATCACAACAGCTTTCGAAAGGAAAGAATACTGCTCGGCCGTATTCTTAGACATACAACAAGCCTTTGACAGAGTCTGGCACAAAGACCTCTTCTACAAATTAAAAAAAACCTGCCCAATAAAATGTACCAATTGCTAAACTGCTATTTGATAGAAAGAATCTTCCAAGTGAAGCAGCAGGACGAACTTTCCAACTTCTATGAAATAAAAGCAGAAGTCCCACAAAGATCGGTCCTTGGCCCAGTCTTGTATACTATATACACTGCTGATCTACTAGAAAGTGAAGAGATAATGACTGCCACATATGCTGACGATACAGCAATAATTGCGATCCATGCTAACGCTGCGGAAGCTTCCGTAAAGTTGCAGAAAAAATTAGATGCAATACAACAATGGTTAAATAAGTGGCGGATCAAGGCGAGTCCTGACAAATCTAACAACATTATCTTCACGTTAAGAAGAGGAAACTGCCCAATAGTACGATTCTAAAATCAAGAACTACCAGTGATCTTTACAGTAAGATACCTGGGAATGTATGTTGACCGCCGCCTTACGTGGAGAGACTACATTAAGTCAAAACGAGCGGAATTAAACTTACGACTCAGTAAACTAGGATGGCTAATTGACAGACGATCCTCACTCACACTCAACAATAAGTTACTAATATATAAATATATATTAAAACCAGTCTGAACCTATGGACTTGAGTTATGGGGAACAGCAAGCACCTCAAACATAGAAGTAATTCAACGCTTTCAAAATAAAGCCCTACGCGTCATATTTAACGCCCCGTGGTTTGTCCGCAACAGTGAAGTTCATGAATATGATGAAATACATACTATAAGAGATATAATACAACAGTCCAGTGTGAGATACCGCAGTAGACTTGAAAGGCACGAAAAGTCCTGGCACAGGACTTACTCATTGAAGCTCAAACAGATGACTTAAAAGAAGGAGAGTTCCGGACTTAGTCGATTTTTAATAACTACTTAAATTTTGTAATATTTATGACGATGAAAATCAAAGGATGATTCACCTCTAAAAACCAAGATTAGCACAACTCATTCGCTTATGGTCCAGCTGGACCGATTATAAAATATCCCGGAAGAAAAAAAAAATATTTCAACTTTCAACATATATATACATGTATATATATATATATATATATATATATACATATATCGAATATATACATATATTCTACGTTGAAAATTTAAATATTCGTATTTAAGGCTGCTGGTAGTTCTCGCTTCTGATGTCATCAGTTAAGAGTAACGCCACGCTACTCTTAACTGATAACATCAGAAGCGAGAAAACGCTTACCTAAAATTCTTGCACACTATTTTTAAATAAAAATATGTTCATATGAAAGAACACTTTAGATTATTTGAGCATCCTTGCAAAATACTCCGAAAATCATCCTTTTCTTTTGACAGTCAGTGAATGAACCGTAAAATTAACGTGACATGCAACCCTTTTCTTTAACTTTTTCTTACAATTTAGTGATGTTACAACTATTTATTTATTTTTGATTTTACAACTATTTGTTGACTGTAAAAGAAAAAGAATACTTTTCGAGGCATTTTGCAAGTAAGTGATCTAAAATGTTCTTTCATTCATTCAAATATTCATTTTATTTGAAAATAGCATGCGAGAATTTTCAGCTTGTTATTTCCCGTTTTTGACGATCCAACGATAGTCTCAAATATAAGTATTTAAACTTTCAACATGGGGAATATATGTATATATACCACACATATGCGTATACAATTGATGTTAAACGTTTAAATATTTCTAATAAATATATAATATATTTAAATATATCGTGTTTTTATATAAAGACCAGAACAATAGCAATGTACAGATTAAATGTGTCCGAGGATTGGCTCTTCCATCTTATTCCCAAAGCGACGAGATATCGTCGATGCGGATCCTCGTCCGCGATATATAGCAAATGAATCGCATAAATAGACAGTTGAAACATTCGGAAAATCAGACGCGACGATTGGAACGGTCGTGACACGAACGTGTCGGGCGACTAGCGGCGATAACGAAGTTTCCACGAAATTCTAAACGAACATTAATAAACGCTCGATCGAGTCCAATTAAGAACGGCCCCGCGGTGGAGTGACGCGAAACGCAGCTCTTTGGGATTTTTTTTCGCCGGCAACGCAATTTCACCGCAAATGCAAATTAGGGACTGAAATTTCTCTTTGTCGCGACAATAGCCAATCGTTTGTGTGGGTATCGGGCGAAAATCTGTTGCGATCTAATCCCAGTGCGTCGTAGATTCGGTCGGTAAAGGAAACCTGTCGACTCGTCGACCATCAAAACGATCGTGTTGCGAATATTATCTCGGCAGAATTCCCGTCCCGCAATCGCGATCTTATCCGACGCGATTTTATTTTCTACGCGTGTTGGCTTGCAGAATTGATAGTCGACTTTCTTGTGTAATAGTGGCGCCGCGGGCGAACTGAACCGGCGTGCTTGCGAAAACTCATTCCGACGACATATTCCTGAGATGAGTCACGGAATTTCCGAAAGCTCGACGGATAAAGTAGTTTTTAAATGTAGAATTACGCGAGCGTTTAATAAAAGCCCGCGGCTTCCTGCAGACAGACAGATAGACAGACAGACAGACAGACAAATATTCAAGATTCTTAAAAAATTCCAGCGCGCGAGAGGAAATTCGTTCTCGCTACTTAGATGTCCCTAATTCCTCGACAAGTGAGAGACTTTGCGGCTGAGCTCAACTAATAAATTCGCAAATTTGCGGTAAGAAGCAGTGAATAATTTCTAAAAATTCAACGAGTTATATTTGAATCATTCCAACCTGGGGCAGATTTAACGGGTACGCTATTTTTCCCAGTCGTCGATAATTCGTCTCATTCGGGAGATATATATGTATATTTATTATTCCACATATGACGAGTTATTATTGCGCTTCATGTGACCTCCGATACTTATAACCTTCATGCAATTTTTACGTTAAGAAGGGAAACGCGGAAAGAGCACCGTCCCATTTAGTTTAAAAGTTAAGTCGTTCGACCACCTTGTCGTGCGAGGAGAAACTGGCTTGACACTCACGTAGAAGGAATCGTACGCGGAAGCACATTGGAAGGGGAGCTTCCGTGGATTCACTCTACCCGCGGATTGTCAGGTCACACATTAGACAGCATCGGTCACATTACGTCTATGTTGACGAGCCAGCTCTGGAAATGTGCGTGAAATAAGGACGGTGCACACATTTTCGGAGGGTGCGCGTCGACCAGCCGGTCGTCGATGACGCGGTTTCACGAACGCGTCACCGAGCGTAGCCGTGAAACGGTCCCGCCATGCATACATGTTATATCGCTTGTTTGTCGGACCTGCAACATGCATGCTATATTGATCGC